TTTCCAGTTCATTTCAAACTTGAGCCTCAGAGGTTCTTAAATATTCTGAGCAATTCTCTAGACATCTTGAATCACACGCCTCAAACTTGGATACTGTTTGGCTAAACAGACATTAAATCTGGTTTAGATTAAGCTTAAGCCTTTCCAAAATCTCAACCCCATTACAAATTTGACTAATTAAAGCCAGGTTCAGGAGTAAGCTGACCAATTTAAATTGGTCAGGAGGAGTGGTTGTCATTTTGGTAAGACTTTCTCAGCTACATTTAATCCATTAAACCTTTAATCCAGCAATAAACAAAAGATTACACATGATTATAAGTTCAGATGAGGCCCGGAGTACCTTTTCTCAGATAACAATCTTTAAGCAGGCATTAACAAACTTTATATAAAAATTTTTTTTTATTAAAATCATATACATGTACCTTTTCAATATAATTTTCACATCTTAAATGTTTTGATTTCATCTGTCTAATGTAGTATATTGTCATAATGAAAGAAATAAGGGCTTAAAAATATGAGTCTGTGTTTAACTAGTAAACAATTTTTTAAGTTTCAATAAAAAAAATCTATTTAATATGAGTGAATCTCTATTGTGAATGATTTTGACCTCAAGAAAATTTGATTGTTTCGTTTAAATTGTAAATCCTTATTTTTTTTTAATTGGTGTAGTTTTAAGTTGCGTTTAAAAAAACAAAAAACAAACTATAAATGCATCAGAAAAAACTTAAAGAACATGGTGTTCCTATCCCTGATGAACGCATGCAAACCTTTGACCTGAGCTGTATTAATTAGAGCCAGGGAAACAAATAGCATGGAGATCAGATGTTATGTTGCTCCTCTCATTGAACTCTCCATATCTCTCACCATCTAGAGCCCCGTCTGTCTGTGTGAATTTATAGAAGAAGCTCCTTCAGCCCACTAGAGCTAAATGTCTGCATTTTTTCTAAAAGGCGGTTCTTTGGTGGAAGCAGCTGCTCTAAGTGGAATGAGGATGATGTGCAGCTGAATATTTCAGCTTTTCTTCTGGAACAAAATAAACAATAGCAGGGAGGAAATGGGTTATTTTGTTGTTAGTTATAACTTGAAAATAACTGTGACATCATATATAACGCTTTTTTTTCATCCTCAAAAACAGATGGCGAAACTTCAAGTTAGAATGTAGACTTATCTCACCATGTGTCTTTATTTATAGGTTGGTAGAAGAAGCAGTTGCTATGGTGTTCCAGTGAAGTGGGAATGAACTGTTATCATGTCTAATGCATGGATTACATCCAGAGGGTGAACATCTGGCAAGCAGGCACAGACAGCCAGACCAGCAGACAATCACTGCAGCCACGGAGCAGTAAAGATGTTGATCTTTGCAGCAACGGGGGCTGATTGCTCGTGATTTGCATCAGATGCAATCACACACGAAATAAAAAAGTTGTTTTACTGCTTGTGTTTGTGTAGAGATATAATGTTTATGTCAGAAAAATAATTCAGCATTACTGTTTAATGAGTGATTATTTTTGGACATTGTTATTTTCTCATTGGGTTTAATTCTCTAGAGACTAAAGCAAATCTGTGTGATTGAAATTTTAACAGCCAAATGTGAAGTTGAATTGTTTTATTTCCCTTAATAATACTCTATCTGATTTTTCTGTTAAAATATATTAACTGGAAAAAATCTATTATTTGAACTTGGGCTGATAAAAGTCTGCATAATAAATTTGCGATTGATCCTTAAAACATAAATATAAGAAATTTTGTTCTGCAGCTTCTGACAATGCTGGATAAGGAGCAGGGTTTATGTTTTGACTAATCAGTGATCAGGGAATCACCAATTTGCCAACTGGTTCTTTGATAGATATGTAAGAAAAATTTTTGGATCTATTATCGCAAATCTATATATGGAGTTTTCAAAATGGTATTGGGATTTTCAGTGGATCCATTTCCCTTGGTCAGCTAAAAATACGAGCCTGTAGGCCTGTTTCTATCTTCCAAATGCATTAGGGACCTTTTTAGAGTTCAACTTCTGGCTGAAACTCTGCTGATCTCTGCCAGCAAACTGAAACTGTCTCATCACTAATTGTCCCAAAATGTATTTTAAACTCAAAGGAGAAATTAAACAAAAAAACAAGCTTTCCCCTGGTCATTGTAGTCTGCAGGCACAGAGGAGAAAATACAGGCAGGGATCCAGGAGTTTGTGCAAAGGTGTCACATCAAACATGAACAAGAGATAATATCATAAATTTGCTACAGTAGAACCAGTAATGAACGTACTCTAATTAATTCTGTTTTTCTGAAATCATTTTTGACAAATTATCAATAAGGCTTTGTGCAAACCTTTTTCAGACATGCCAAAGTGGTCAGTGCCTCATTAACTCAGAAGATAAAAAAATAAACAAATTGTCCCTCTCTTTATCCAGTGTCCCCATCATAAGCAGCCTACTGCTTGGGCCTGACACATCTGGGATATATTGCTCCCTTTGGGCATTGTTTCTCATCCCGTATGCACACACAAGCTCAGAAAAGCACAACTGTGTCCATCAGCTGGAGTCCCATTGCTGTCTACTGGGAGCAGGTACGTGTCGTATCCTGTTCATGTCTTCACCTGTCACATGCCACATTGGGACTACAGTAGTAAAATCAGGAAGTGGGAAATAACAGCAGCATTTTTAGACAGGCAACGCAGAACGAGTTAGATCCCTGATTATTTAAAAAACACAGCACAGGACATTAACAAGGACATTTTTTTTTTTTTTTTTTACAAATTTTCTACCCATTGTCTCTGGTTCATTAGTTGAAGAATTGATGTAGCTCAATGTTATTGTGCAAGTTAGGCCATAAATGTAGGAGCATTGGTACAATGGCTTTCTTTATTCCTAAAATGATTGCACAGCAGGGGAAAGAAATGCTTGCCGCAGCTAAAGTGGTCCATGGAGCAATGGTGCATTATAATAAATTGTACTTTCACAGCTCAGTAAAGTAACATGTAGATTGATGGAGCACATTCATCACCGTGCTAAATTACCTCTCCTTTCACACTAATCCTAATGTAGAAGAATATTTCAAGCCAAGTCAGAAAAATACAGATTTTTAGTTTTAAAAGAACTGATTATGAACCGAAACCATAGCTCAGCAGTTACAGCATGTTGCTCCATTGATACACTCCTGAAAGATGTTACCAACCAAATAGGCTTTGAGCACAATGCATTACACAGCTGGCCACTATGTGTTAAAGTCTCTGACCTAGACATTTTAATCCCCGCCCAGACATGTTGAAAAACCTCCTATGGAGCAAGATTATTAACTGTAACCTTAAAAAAAAAAAAAAAAAATATATATATATATATATATATATATATATATATATATATATATATATATATATATATATATATATACAGGATGAATGAGAGAAAAAGACACAAACAACTGATCCACACAGCATAGTGCACAGAATTAACTATCCAAATTTGTCTTATTAGATTGTGACAGAAGTTTTTTAATATTGATGCGACTGTGCAAAAGACAAAATAATCAGTTTCATCTTAACCAAATGTAAGTTTAGGTTAAAAGTGCTTACCCTCAGTTGGTTCTAGTCATGCAATTAAAATTACAATTTTACCTACATACTCAACAATGTTTACAAGACGACTCAGGTGTTTCACTCCATTGCCTTATGTCGTCTATTTGACACTCCAGGTATAGTTAAGGCCAAACTCATACATATGTGTACATTTTAAATTTTTATTATTTTCATTCAATAAGACAGCTATTTTTAAACAGGAAATAAGCAAGTCATCTCTGAAAGATATGAAATTATGTAAAAAAAGATCAAATCTTTTACTGAAAAAGCAAACCTAAAAATGGTTTATATTCTAAATCTGAAGTCACGTTTACCAAATATTTTCCAGATTTTACTAGGTTTTTTTTTCATGACATAGAAATCTGACGGATAGCAATTCATGCCCTGATCATTTCATGGCATATGATATAATGATTAGCTGTTTCAACCAGATTTCCTTCTGCTGAATTAAGTCCATGCTGGGTTAGGAAACCTTCATCTCACTGACTTCTGATAACCTCATTTGGTGAAAATTCACTGGGTGTGAATGTGAAAATCAAAATGTTAAATTATAATCATTCAGAAAAATAAGCTGACAGTTAAAAATAAATTATGACAGAATTTTGTTGAGTTTGTCAGTGAAAATCAGAAACAGTTAAAAAGTGTAGCACAACCTCTGCACTTAATACCCAATGGAGGTAAAAAATACTAACTGGCATTAAGGGAATCAAATCTTTAAAAGGTTTCTACTCGTATAAAGAATTTCCCTTTTGAAATAAGCACCAAGTATTTGAGTCTGTGCAGCTTTTTGCCATTACCCTTTTCTTTAATCTTTCACCCCAAAGATTCTCTCTTACTGGATTGTTGACTTCGGGTTAAAGTAATTTAAATTTTTATAAATATTTTAGCTTTAAAACTAAAGAACAACCTGTTATGATTCTATTATAAACTATCGAGTTATTTTTTTAATACCAAATGATTTCTTTCAAAAAAAATTTTTATGTTGTTTTGTTTTGCAGAAACAAGAAAAAATTTTTTTCCAAATCTACAGGTTCTTAAATATCAACCAAAATTCTTTTTTAGATGTTTTTCCTTACACTACATATTGTAGAATAAATTATGGATACTATTAAAAAAGTAAAAAATTTCTGCTGTTTGGAAGTTGGAAGATTTTCCAAATTTCTCCTACAGACCTGGTCACTGGCAGGCACCACCTCTGAACTGCAGCCAGACAATAAACCATGACTTCCAAACTCCTGTCCTGAAACTTTTCGACAGGATCTTCCTCAGCAAACTCTGAACTAAATAGTTTGGTAATTAGCAGCAGTCAGTAGAACTTTGTCATGCTGGAAGCATTTCTGGGAAGCATTGAACCCCGGACACGCATCTAACACACATTTGTCACCAAGGACAGGTGTTTCAGAGCCCTGACCTAAACAGTCTTAGGCTGTAAATAATTCATGCCTTATGCTAAAGTGCTTGCTCTCTTACCAGGCAGGTCACAGCCAAGAACCTCCATCCTCATACCGATGCCAGCAGGTGACCATCGCTCTGGAAAAACTCTGATGTGCTGGGCGACAATCTCGTCAAACCTCCTCACTTCTGGAGTATCATAATGGCTGTTCCCCTCAAAGATCTGAGTAAACACATTTAGAGATGATGTCATTCTTCAAGATTAAAAAAGCTTTGTCCAAAATCATTTTTAAAAGTGTCATTTCACATTATGCACGGATGTTGCAATTCCAGTTTTGGGCAATACTGACACTGCACTGCAAAAACAATCTTGAAACTCCTAAAACTAAGTGTATTTGCCAATGGAATGAGTATATTTACTCCTCAAGTAAGATAATTAGATATTATGCACTTAAAATAAGACAGTGCAATAGTTTTTTCTTATTTTAAATATAAATTGTCCTGTTCTATTGGCAAAGTGTCTCACTTACCTGCTCAATACAAGAAAAAAAATCCCTTATTTTAATCAAAAATTACTTAATTAGATTTCAATTTTTTGCAGTGTGAGCCTGAATGTTAGAAAACTCAAGGAAATACAAACATATTACTATTTTCTATTTAACTCTCACCGACAAAGGAACAGTAAGCCTGTCTGAAGTCATACAGCAGAGCTAATCAGCATTGTTTCTCATCTCAGTGTGACATGTGTCATAAAAAATAACAAGTGTGTTCCTTTTGATTTTCAAATATTCTTTGAGGCAGCAGCAGCCTCTAGCAAAGGAAAAGAAAAGAGGAAAAAATAGGGTTTATTACAAACCTAGAGCTAGACAAGACTAGACAAGACTACTATTGGTTTCATGGATTAAGTTGTATTTTCTGCCTTTAAGATTTCTAAACTAAAAGGGAAAAAAAACTTAGATGATTTTCCCAGGATGCTCATTTAAAAAGACAGCCAGATGAGAGCGAACAGGATTTTTAACATCAGTTGAAAACCCCGGCAGTAGTAGAGCTATTAAAGCATTTTAAGACAGTCTCAGAAAGGAGAATGAAGAGCCCTGTCTCATGGTGCGTTAGACTGCCAGCAGTGTTGAGTAGTGATGCAGAAAAGACATTTTTAATTAACACCCATGAGAGACAAATAGGGGATGAGTGAACAAGTGGAGGAGAGACAGAAAGAGTAAAGGGAAAAGGAAAAAAGGCAGAAATAAGCAACGGGATTGAGCAGATTAAATGCAGTTGTTTTTAGAGGTGATGCTGGAATGAAATAAACTTTCTACCAAACAAAAAAAAAAAACATTTTAAAGTTGAGGTAAATAAAATTTGAGAGAAAAATCTCTAGATTTATGAAGAGTTTGTATAAAGTACATGTTAGGAAACCGAATAAAGACGAAAGAAAATGAACTTGCAATGTTTATATTAGGTTAATTTTTATTTACCTTAGCAAACCCAGTTTTGCTGTCAATGATGTAACTCCAGTCTTTTCCATTTAGGCTGTGTGCCAGTTTGTACTTCCTCACAAAAGCTCGGCTGTCAGAACTTGTGCTGCCCTCCAACCCTCTGGCACCCTGAGTTATTATGCCTCGGACCGTCTTGGGTACACCTAGATCCACCTGCAATACAGAAAAAACGTGTCTATTCTTTACCAAAAACGGGCTGTGGACCTTTCAGTTTGGGATGGTGGTGGTCTTTAGTCCTTATACTTCACTAAAAGGACACTTTTCAAACCATAGAAACATTTAGACATAATTTCATGACTAAAGGAGGCTTTAAATATCAGACATTTGTTTCTTTCATGGAATATTTTCCTAATATTAGTAAATTATTTGTATTTTATACATTAATTATTTTATTGTACAAATATGATGCCTAAAAATGATAAACTAATTGCATTTTCTCAATATTGATACCAGCTTAAAGTGTCCTAAAAATGCCTATTATTTAATATATGCAGAAAGAAAATTTGGTTAAGTAAAACTGCAACAGTCATGATTACAACACAAGCCGAAAAAATATGTATTTTAAGGTAACACTCTATGGATTCTAATACTATTACTTTTATCCAGTTTTAAAGATTCATCACTCAGCGACAAATAGAGTTTAACCTCAACTTTTCAAAGAAAATTAAAGTTTTGGTGCTAAAATGTACTTGAATGACAAAACATGGAATTTTTTCGCAAAATATCAGAGCATATTGTTAGACATCACTTGGGATATGTTTTAAAATATAAAGTGGACTCGATTAACAAAAACAAAATAAAGATGGCTGTCTAAGGTTTTATAAATGGTGCATTACACAGTTAACAGGAACACAAAGGTGAACTTATGATGTAAGCAAATCTAATTATCATGCAGTTATTTTGTGTATAACATCTCATTGAAATCATGTTTATTGTTAAAACATTATTAAAAACTATTTAACTATATTTTTCAAATCTTTATAATAAAATGAGACTTAGGATTTAGTGCTTCTCAGACGCATCTACAGTCAAATATGGTCATATAACAGTTAATTCTTCGGTAATGTGCATTTGCTGAAAAATTCACCTGAGAATGGGAACTCTACTCAGGAAGATCTTTTGCTCATTAGTTTTGCAGCATAAAGTTAAAGTCACAGACCTGCAGCCACTCTTCTCCAGCTATAGGTTGTGTCGGGTTAGGAAACCAGCCCGACCGGCTGGCGACCAGTCTGGCCGCCCCCATTGAGCCGTGGATGTCCCTCATGGAGGATGCTGAGATCTGGGAGTCAGGGAGGAGGCCAGACAGCATGCCTTGCAGCTCTGAACAGGGAGCATCTAAGAGATACCCAAAGAGACAGAGAAAACCAAAGGTTTCAAAACAGTATTTTAACATTTTCACACAAATAATTGTTAAAATCAGCTAACTAAGATGTGCAAAGCCAACAAAATTTGAATTACATTTGTAGCCGAGTGCCTATAATCCAAGAGTCTACCAAGGAAAAGGAGTAAATGAAAATATACTGTAGCTGCAAGTAATGCTGCTATCATTCAAACAACTTAAAACATTTCAACCAATCACATCTAGCTTGGATTTATACTTCAAGTAACCTTATACTGTTTATTTTTCTGTAAATAACCGACTTATGGTAGAAATAACAACATAATGGAAAGCTTAAACGGACAACATGGTTTGCTAATTAATTAAAGTCCCAGAACTGAATCCACCAGATCCTACAGCGATGCTCCCAGTTTGGGGATTCCTGGAGCTGCAGCTGGATCCAGTGGTACTTCCATTTGATCAGGACCCAAAACTGTTATTCCTCTAAAAACAGAGGTACAGTGACGCGGAGCAGTGGGAGATCTGAGCAAGAAACCAGAGCTCAACTCATAGCCGCATGTGGCCAGCACTGCACCTAGGCATTTTTAAAGCCACTTATGAACCTATAAAGAGCATTCCTTAGTTATTCCTATTCTTTAACATTTTTTGTATCTTCTATTTAGATTGAAACCAGCTTCTTCTCTGCGGTGCTCCTTTATCCTACGTCACACGTTTAGTCCCTTATTTTGCATCTTGATAAAACAGTTCAGATTTTTCAAATTCAGTGACAGTCATACATGGCAGGTGCAGCATCGTCTTGCTGTAATTGCCATAATTACAGCCATAATTGACACTTGCATTGCTAGAAGCTTGTCCTTTGCATTGTTTTGAATTGCTGCAGTCCTGAACATACCCTTACATAGAGATCAAATGTAAAGCACTGTGGGTACAGGAATTGCAC